CGTTCATAGAGAATATCATCAGAAAAAGCGAATAGGTCATGCCAGTCTCCCTTCGAAGAGAACCGCGTATGGTTCGGGCACCAAAGTCCACAGGATTATTCAAGAAAGGTGACGCCAACTTCAAAGGAGGTGCTTAGTGATAAGGCAGCAAATGTATAGCCGATTTAAGCCGAAACTTGGCACATAACCTGCTCCCGACCAGGTTAAGTTCGCAGCGTAAGTTACCATGGTAATCTAGCCACGTTAAAAGAGAGGCACCTTCCTGACATTGAAAAGCCTAGGTTTAGGCTCGACATACCTCGCTAACCCACTTATCTTGCTTCGTAGTATACCCCCCAGCAACTGCTTCAGTTTGGAATCTTGTTTCTGCTTGGGATATTATATGCAAACGACAAAGAACTTCACTCCACTAAGTGCACTTCTGCTCCAGTATGACTTGGCTGGTCTTCTTGTACTTAGTAATGGCTTTCGTTACCTAAAAAGTTCGTTGCCATGAAGGCGCCTGTTGTGCTTGTGTCCAAGACTTAGTGACCCCAAGATGCAGCAAGTCACTGCACTTCTTGGACCACGATTCTTGGGCTTTTTATTATCTCCCTAAATATCGACCTCAATGTGCGTGAGAACAACATGCATCTGCTCCCTCTATGTTTACGATAATTCTCTGTTTTACCCCCTTGGAGAACAATTTTCAGAGGGAATATTGCTGTCATCATGTCTGTCTGTTTTCCGTGTGTGTGTGTTTCTGTAATGAACTTACAAAACGTTTGCCAAACTAGGGGCAATAATGTCGGAGCAAATGTGTGCTGAGGGGGGTTTATTAGTGTGGAGGCTTATCAGCTTTTCATTATTGTCTTAACAATGCTATGTGATATGTTTAAGCCAGGGCCGGATGCAGCCTGCTTGACTGGGGGGGGCATTTTATTTTGTTGACCGGGAGGGGTGCGCGGTTCGATTCATTCGCATTGCGCACTCAATCACATTGCAGTGAAGTATACATCAGTAAGTCAGGAGCAGCCGGGGGGCACGGCACGAATTTGGGGGGGCATAGCCCAACCCCGCACCCCCCTGGATCTGGCCATGGTTTAAGCACTTATGTATTTTTTATACCCGCTACCCCACTTTTACCGTTAAATTATGTCTCTTCGAATTGACCATTGTTTTTTTTTTTTTTTCTTTTTCTACGGTGACAATGGGATTGTACACATAACATATCTAAGACTCGAGTGAAACTGGGAATGATGCAATGGCACATTAAACTCTTGTTTGAAATGGAAAAAGTGAAAAAAAAAACCCATGGGAACAAATGTGTTAAAAAAACATAGTTCTCTCATTGTTTGGAATGTAATACATGTATTATTAAATTTGGTTTTACAATGTTGTAATGATAATAAAAATAATGGTGTTTATTATTTGCAGGCTTTATTCTTGTAATAATAAGGGTGCCAGTACTGCTGCACCTGTTTTGTCTTCAAGCCGTTCCAGGTTTTTGTAACCGCAGCTGTTCATTGTTCCTGTAATTATTTAATCATGAATAAATGTGTGGTTTTTAAATAAGTAACCTCTCCACTGTTGGAAAGGATAGAGTCCAAGAACAAAGTAAATTGCACTGCTAACATACCACTAAACATATTTTGACAGGTAGCTAATCTGATAGCACAGTGCTCACTGCAAATGGACACTAGTCTGGGAGGGCAGAGCTCACTGTAAGTCATTACTGACCATGAATACACTGTCAGTTCTGACTGATGCAGTGTAGTGGGTCTTTCTTTACAGGTAAGCCATGTGTGATTTCACAAAGTAGGATTATTGAGTTTGCTAGATAACTGAACTGAGAAAACCAATAACAGATCTTTTTACAATGTACCCTAATCCATGTTCCAGATTTGGGAGTGCTCTGAGCTTTTTTTTGTGCAGTTGTCACGCCAGCTCAGTAATCCTTTTTTGTGAAACAGTGCCCAAGTGTCCTCATTACATGTCCAACTGCTCCTGGTGTCAGATTGAATCCTGTATCCCCGAGAATCATTCATCTGTTTAAACAGCAGCAAAGTACAGTATGCTGTCAAATTTAAATGAGCTAATAATTTTCATGAAATGGTAAAATGCTTCACTTTTAACATCTGATATGTTGTCTATGTTCTATTGAGAATAAAATGTCAGTTTATGAGATTTGCAGATCATTGCATTGTTTTTATTTATATTTTACACTGCATCCCAACTTTTTTGGAATTAGTGTTGTACATCAAGCTGAGTAGCACTTTCATATCTAGAGACGCTAATTATTACCTCGCCCGCAACTGAGTCAGCGGAGCAAGGTACTGCAATCAGTGTGGTTTGTTTGTCTGTTTGTGTGTGTGTCTGTGGGTCAACAATCTAACGTCTAAACGGTTGCACTGATTGATTTTCAAATTTTCAAAGTAGGTGGGCAATGGTCCATAGATTACCTGATTAAATTTTGGGGGCGATCGAGTCAAGGTCAAGGTCACCAGAAAGGTCAAAATTGTTTTTTTTGCTATAACTTTCTTCAAATTAATCATATTGAATTAAAACCAAAACCGCAATGAGCATCTTTCAATTCTGCTTCAAACCATGTGCAGCATGATAGGGTAGCTTTGATAGTCTCCATACTGGTTGGGGGTCAAGTATCGGGGGGGTCAAGGTCATCAGTGAAAATGATATGTTTTTCGTTATAACCCAAAAATGGTTGCAGATAGATATTTACTATCCGCTGCCGAAGTCATGACGTCACTATAAGGTCAACCTGCCGCAGCTGTGGCAACTGGTTCACGCCAAACGAACCAAAGAACTCACACAGTCTTTATCGCCCTCGTGTCTATGTATGGAATTATGCTTAATTTTCAGCGATCTTAAACCCAAACTATGCTCATTATAAAAGAACAGAAATCATTTCTCAAATTTTGATGGTCAAATATTGGGTATTTTGTACCGGATGTTAAGTGTGTGAGTGAATGTGTTGCTATGATGTGGGCGTGAACCATTGTCAAGGAAGTGAGTGTTGACCCCAGGTGAAGTGACGTCGCAGTATTTCAGCGAATTATGAGCATATAGGAACCCATATATGGGCTTTTATTTCACATCATGACCTTTGACCTTGAGTGACCTTGAAAGGTCAAACTCAACGTCATAGATTTTCAGAAGGCTATAACTTGAAGACGGCTCATGGTTAACAGATATTTACTACCATCAACAAATAGGAAGTCCCATATGGGATCACATTTGGCACCATGACCTTTGACCTTCAGTGACGTTAAAGGGTCATACTCAAGGTCGTAGATTTTCAGAATGCAGGCGAGGTATGTTTTGCCTGGCAGCCCCTGTCTTGGGACAGTTATGCTGCAAAGGCACCTGATTTATTAATTTTGCTTTAAGATTACCACAGCATATTGCTACAGCCACGAGTTTAATTGAGAATGGATCCCCATCACTTGTGGGCTCAGGTGCAACTGCATCTCCAGTGTTTTTGCCGCTAATGTTTGAATTTTATTTGCTTTCCACAGCCTTTTCTAACTGCTACAAATCATCTCAGCGCACCCCCGAAACCTGATCAGTTCTAGCAGAGCAGACATTGTAACCGAGCGAGTGGTTGTATAGCTATGTTAGCTAGGCAGTTAACAATCCTGTCTCTTATGCATTTATATGTATGGCGTTGTTGTCTTGAAACAGCATTACTAACATAACTGCAGCCAAGATAAGCACTTCTAATTGGACTGATAGACTATCTAAGAATTAGACAAAGCCACAAACAGCGTTATATCGAATTGGATCATGTTAGATTTATATTCCGCGTTTCTTTCATTTTCCCGATTGATCCAAAGTTGGTCCAGATATTTTTGCTATGTCTGAGAGTTGGTTGTGACATATTCCGACCATCCCAACCCAAACGTATGCCTAAATATTCCAAAAAAGTTGAGATGGATGCAATTAAGGACAAAAAATGACATTAAAAAAAAGAAGGACAATCATGATTTGACATGGTCGATGTCAGCAGGTGATTGAGATCATCTTTCGGTTCAAAAGCAGAGGCCAGGAATGGCCTAGACCTTCAAGATTGAAGATCGGCAGAAGATTGCTAATTGGCCCATGAATGCATGAAAAAAAATCACAGAAAGGTTTAAAAACAATGTTCCTCAAGAAAAGATTGGTAGTGATTCGGATATTTCACCCACTATGATGCATGACATAATTAAAAGATTAATGGAATCTGGAGGAATTTCTGTGCATAAACATTAAGGCACAAGCCTAAGCTGAACACCCACTATCTCAGATCATTCAAATGGCACTGTATCGAGAGCCATTATTTATCTATCAGTGATACAATGACATGAGCTCAGGATTACTTTGGCAAACCTTTGTCAAGTACGGCAATGCGTAGTTGCACCCACAAATGCCTCTTAAAACTTTACTGTGCAAAAGAAAGCCTTACGTTTACAATGTACGGAAGCGCCGTTGAATATCTCTCGGCCCAGAGGCTTCTGTGATGGACCATTGCACAGTGCGTCGTGTGACAAATCAATATTTTAGGGTTATTTTAGGAAGAAACGGACACCATGTGCTCTCTACCAAAGAAAATAAGTAGTACCCAAAGGACCAGAAACAAGGCCAAAAGCCATGCTCTGTCATAGCGTGAGGTTGTGTCAGTGCCCTTAGCTGTAAACACTCTGATTTTAGAGCAACATATGTTGTGTAATGCCTTAAAGATGGCACCTTTTCCAAGGATGCCCATGGACATTCCAACAAGAAAACACCAACATCTGCGTTCTGCAGGCCTTACAAAGGTACTGCTGCGTAAGAAGAGGGTGCAGCTGCTAGACTAGCCAGCCTGCAGTCCCAACTTGTGTTGTGTGGTGAATTTTGAAATGCAAAATGCAACAGCGAAGATCCCGGGCTGTTGCAAACTTTAAAAATGGGGTTCTCAACCTAACCCAGAAAGAGCGAGTTTGGGTGCAGGCTTTCATTCCAGTCATGTGTGGCAGGCCGAAGGAGGGCCCGGGGAGGGAATTGAACCCCAGACTCCCGGGTAAGAGTCACGGGTGTTGACCACATCACCAAGAGCCAGGGTCCTTGGCAAGGTAGCCAGGGCGCGTACTTATTAGGAGGCATTTCTAGTGACAGGACCCATCAACTGTAACATCTCTCCCCCTCTTTAGGGAGCATGTCCTCACACTCCATGCTTTAAGCATGCTGCCATCCATTGGGATTCCCTGAATCCTGCCGATTACGCCAAAATGTGGCAGGCCAAAGGGGTTCGGGCGGGGAATTGAACCCCAGACTCCCGGGTAAGAGTCACGCGTGCTGACCACATCACCAAAGAACCAGGGTCCTTGGCAAGGTAGCCAGGGTGCGTACTTATTAGAAGGCATTTCTAGTGACAGGACACATCAACTGTCACACTTGCAGTACCACATGCAATTCTATTATTCAAGGTCTTCAACAAAGACTTTAGAAGTTGATGAGTAGAATCAGGTGTGTAATGCTTGCTACCAAAAGGACCCTTTCTGAATAAGGTTGAGAACCCCTGCCTTAAGACTTGTTTGCAGGAACATTGGGACAAAATTACATCTGAAACACTTAATCACTCTGTGTCCTCAGTTCTTCACTGTCTATCAAGTGACGTTAAAAGCAATGGCAACATTACAAAGAGGTAAATACTGCCTCTTTTTTATTTCTGAAATATGTTGAAAGAATCAAAATCATAATGTGTCTATTTTTAAGAATCAATAAAATGCATTTGGTGAATAATCAAATAATGTGAAGTTATCTTATTCTCAATGTAATTAAGGTCTGAGATAATTTACAAATCACTGCTTTCAGTTTTTGTTTTAATTTAATGTACCATCCCAACTTTTTTTTTTTATTTGGAGCTGTACTAAACACACAGCACACTGAATTATCAAGCAGGGCAATGTGATTGAGAAAGAATATCATACATCCAGTGAAGAAGACTGAATACTGATGAATCTCTACAAGAGACTAGTAGGAAAACAACTTCTGTGTACTGAGCCCATTATAGGCCCATCCTATATGGAAATTTAGAGAAAAAAAAAACAGTAATAATTTGGTTGTGGTGCCCATAAACCCCATAATACACATAAGTCAGAACACAATCAAGACAGAGTAACTTTATTACATGACTACACTGTACAGCTGCATCCCAGGAGTTACTGCATTCATGAAACGTTTGAGAAAATCGTGGCACAGGTCTGATATTCAGCATGATTTCAGGACTGTTTTTTTTTTTCCCCCTCAAAATTCTTAGCATTCTCAAACCCTATTGTTTTCCGATACCATCAGTGATTCTAACTTCAACATGAAATGTGTACACGCGGAAGAGTTAACTCATTGACTAACGCAGCACGGATACCCTATTTTAAAATTCCACCTCCCGTAAGCCACAGCAATTAATAGGTTCATGCTAGATGGCACTGTTGTTCTTCAGTACTGTGGGTGACGGAGCACCACTCCCTGTCACATTCCAGCACTCTTAATCTTACCCTACCGAAGCCGCCGTGGCCCTTGCCAGTCATCACCGACACACTCGCACTCACATTCATGTTCAGCATCATGCCCAACCTTCAGCTTCCTCCAACATGGCGGATGGCAAGTTGATAAAGACGATATGTTAATCTAAATGCAAATAGGCTCGCAGTTATAGCTTTCTCTGTGGATGGTTGCCCAACGATGAATTTGTAAGAGGTGCCAGGTTTGCCATGCTGTATTACATAACTGTGCATCTCTTGCAGGTGTGTGCTATTTTGGATGTCTGCGGTGTAAAATATAATTATACTTTCCTGCCAACTGACCGTCTTGGATTTTTCCTGCTTTTAAACCAGTGATTATTTTGTATTTTCTGAAACACATGCTGTGTGGTAGAGACTGGTTTTTCCACTGGGCGTATGTTCACTAAAATGTTTATTCAAAGTTAAGCATGTGTGAAAATTAATGTATTGTAAACACCACGCGTGGGCTGCCCATCTGTGGCAGAAGATGAATTATAAATATGGTCTTGTAGTTCAAGATACATATAGGACTCTGATTTTACTGCTGAATTATGGGTAAATGCCCGATTGTTCAGTGTTTTATGGTCTCATATAGCGGCAGCACAACCACCTTCAAGCAGCTACAACAATAATTTACTGCAGTCCAAGTCTGACTGGCTCTGTCGAGATACATCAGTCGAACTGACATTTAATATTCCCTGCATATAGCTGAGGACTGTGAAGCAACCCAGTGACTAATGTTTGGGAGGAAGTGTCTACATCATGGTCAATGTGGAGGAAGGACCCAGGATCAGATGGCACCGCAGCAATTTAAGATTCCTCACAACTCTCACTGTCGCATGTACCTTTTTTTAAAAAAGTCCTTTTTTTCTCCTGGGAAAAATTCCAAGAACACTTCACTGTGCGGGCCATCAATTATATTGTTTACTGGATAAATACCACAACTTATTTTCAGTCATTAGATAACTGCTTTGATTTCGGAGCTAAGTATTATGAAATGGGCTTGAGACAGTATTTCCATGACATTTGACAAGTTTGTTTCATGCGACATAGTGACTTTGTTTTGTAGCACTTACCTCTGAAATCAAAAGCGACGACATCTAAAAATAACTGGAGCAGTTGGCATTTACCCAGTAAATGGTACAATTAACGGCCTGTAAAATAAAGCGTGGCAGAAAAAAAAAGAGAGAAAATCAACTTTTTCCTGCTCTGCTTTCAGAAAGTTTGTAATTATCATACTTCCCCCCTCGTTACAGCCACAGTTGTTTGCTCCAGTAACCTTTTCGCTGTCTCTCTTGTCAGACTGTATGTGAGCCTCTCTGCCATTTTGAGTCTCTCTGCTCCCCAACTCCTAATTGGCGAGTTCTGTTAATATTGATTTATTTTTTGGAATGACTCTTGCTCCGATGTTGGTCAATGGAGTGTGACAGAGTGCATATACCCTTGGACAAAAAAACTCATCCTGTCTGCCCTAAATCTCAGTTCTTTTGTCACCCTTCAGTAGCGCACAAGCAAAACAGATCTGGAAAATAGGCCCTGCTATTCTTATCCTCTACTTTTAAACTTCTCTGAACTCGGCTTGAGGTTCCTTTGACTTGATTTCTGGTTCAAACAATGATTGAATCAGCACATCAAAACAAAGCTGCAGTTTGTGTTTCACTGTACCAGTCATGGTGTGCGCTCAGAACTTTCCATTTTTCAGCCTCCCTCATTAGTGACTGAAGGAAACGAGTTCAGCTTGTTTTCAGCCGGGATAACCTTTTGTGTGAATTTTAAATTTTAATGAACTCATGAGTAAATCTTGCAGTGAATGGATCTGCTTTAGGTAGGACAAGGCACACTGGTGCATAAACTGAAATATCCAACAGGGAACATGATACTGCAAACCATAGAAACATGTAGAAAACCTGAACACCAGCAATTACACTGAAACACAGTGAAAACGCAACACCTAATTTTTAAAAGCTGTAGCTGATTTTTTTGCAGCCATCAAAATTACCACAGAAGAAATACAACCCCAATTCTGAAATAGTTGGGACGAAGTGTAAATTGTGAATAAAATTAAAATGCAATGACTTTCAGATCACGAGCCAATATGTTATTTACAATAGAACATAGAAAACATTTCAAATGTTGAAACTGAGACATTTTACATTTTTATCCATAAAATGAGCTTATTTCAAATTTTCTGGCTGCAACAGATCTCAAAAAAGTTTGGAGACAGGCAAAAAAGGGCTGTTAAAGCAAATTAATATATAAGAGAATAAGCTGAAAGAACATTTAGCAAGTAATTAAGTTAACTGGCATCAGGTATGTAACATGATTGGCTATAAAAGGGATGTTTTAGAGAGGCTGAGTCTCTCAGAAGTAAAGATGGACAGAGGCTCTCCAACCTGTGAAGGCTTGCGTAAAAAAATTGTGGAATAATTTAAAAACATTGTTCTTCAACGTCAAATTGCAAAGGCTTTGAAGGTCTCATCATCGACAGTGCATAACATCATCAAAAGATTGAGAGAAACTGGAAAAATTTCTGTGCGTAAGGGACAAGGCCGAAGACCTTTACTGGATGCCCGTGATCATTGGGCCCTCAGACGCCACTGCATCACTCACCGGCATGATTCTGTCATTGACATTATTAAATGGGCCCAGGAATATTTCAAGAAACCACTGTCTGTAAACACAGTCCGCCGTGCCATCCACAGATGCCACCTAAAACTCTATCATGCAAAAAGGAAGCCATTGTTGAGCATGATCCAGAAGCGCCACCATGTTCTGTGGGCCAAGGCTCGTTTAAAATGGACTTTAGCAAAGTGGCAAAGCGTCCTGTGATCAGACGAGTCCAAATTTGACATTCTTCTCGGAAATCATGGGCGTTTTGTCCTCCGGGCTAAAGAGGAGAAAGACCACCTCTCCTGTTATCAGTGTTCAGTTCAAAAGCCAGCATCTCTGATGGTATGGGGATGCATTAGTACATATGATGTGGGACCCTTGCATGTTTTAAAAAGCACCATGAATGCTGAAAGGTATAAAAAGGTTTTAGAGCAACATATGCTCCCCTCCAGAGGACATCTATTCCAGGGAAGGCCTTGTGTATTTCAGCAGGACAATGCAAAACCACATACTGCAGCTATTACAATAGCATGGCTTTGTAGTAGAAGAGTCTGTGTGCTGAACTGGCCTGCCTGCAGCCCTGATCTTTCACCGATTGAGAACATTTGGCGCATAATTAAACGAAAAGTCCGTCAAAGGAGACCCAAAACTCTCCAGCAGCTGAAAGCCTGTATAATACAAGAGTGGGATCAAATTCCAATAGCTAAACTCAAGAAACTTGTCTCCTCAATGCCCAGACGCCTCCACTCTGTGTTAAAAAGAAGAGGGGATGCTACACCATGGTAAACAGGCCCCTGTCCCAACTTTTTTGAGACCTCTAGCAGCCATCAAATTTTAAATGACCTCATTTTGTGGATAAAATTGTTAAATTTCTCAGTTTCAACATTTGCTATGTTATCTTTGTTCTATTGTGAATAAAATACTGGCTGGTGTGATTTGAAAGTCAT